GGAGAGGGGCTGCTGTGTGTCCGGGCCCTTCTCTCCTCCAAGGGCAGGGCGGGGCCTGGTGCTGAGCAGAGTGCAGTGTATAATAAATATATTTTAAAATATTTTGCTTATTGTATAAATAGCGCACGTTCATGTAGAGAAGTAAGTTTAACCTGTGTTTCACTCTCGCTACGATTTTGCTGGCTCTCCTATTAGTCTTTTATCTGCTCTCCGCCAAATGGACATGGTCAGGAGGTTGCCTTTCTGTATCTTTCCCCATTCCCAGGGTGTCTGATATTTTGGGAGCTAGGGTGTGGAGGGGCAGAGCACAGTTCCATAATTAACAGTGTAAATAAAAAATTGATGATAGCTTCTGTTTATAGCGTTGAATGTGAGTAGGAACTATGCTAAATGTTTTTCATTTAATACCATTTCAAGTCCTTATTCTCAGTCCTATGAGGTTGGTCACTATTATCCCCATTTTATAGACTGGGAAACTGAGTCTCAAAGAGATTAAACAATGTTCTCAAGCTTACACAGTGGTGGAGCTGGAGTTTGAATCCAGGCCTGTCCCCGGAGCCCACTCTAGGCCATACATCATAATAAGCTCTGTATCGCCCACCTGGCACAGGGCTCCTTCCATCGGAGACAAGGCTAGGTGCTGGATAAATGAGTAAGTCCGGTTCTTCCACTGTCCTCATTCTCAATCCTCCCCACGTGGATCAACCAATGAAAATGCAGAGCTGTACACATTTCTGGTTACTGGGAGGGACTTACCTTTGAAGGTTCCTGTTCTAGGAAACACCAGCTTTCACATTCCCAGAAATAGCAGGTACTTCCCAGTGCTGGCAGTGAATTAGCCAGAGCTTCCTCTGTGGGGCTCTGTTCCGCCTGGAAACTAGGCAGCCGGGTTGGAGAGAAGCCTTCGCTTCATCCTGCTCCTGCCCTGTAGCTCCTTGGCTCTGTCTCTCAAATGCCATGTGGGTGAAATATGCCTTGGGAGAGACACAAGCCTGGCCTGGTCCCTTCCCCTGCCACCAAATGTCCTTCCTGCATTTATACAATGGGCATTATAACTCCTGTATCTACCAACCTTATGGAAACTGTAGTCCTCATGAAAGAAGATGATCTGGTAACACTCTGTGACGTCCTCAGTACAACTGCACCCACAGACTCATCATAGTTTAAACCCAAAAAGGTGGCCTGAAACCACACCTCTCAGCAGGTAGATCTGGGAGGAAAAGTCTGGCATCGATGGCAGNAGATCTGGGAGGAAAAGTCTGGCATTGATGGCAGAACAGGAAGATGCAGCAGACCTTAGGATCTTAAGATGTCCCCAAAATGTATCTCAGGAGAAACTCTCAAGTACATCTTATGTCAGGGACAGAAGAATANGAACAGGAAGATGCAGCAGACCTTAGGATCTTAAGATGTCCCCAAAATGTGTTATCTCAGGAGAAACTCTCAAGTACATCTTATGTCAGGGACAGAAGAATGTCCCCTGACAGTCGAAGTAGTTGGCTGACAGGTGTGGCCTATCTGGCAACCACAGGTGTTAGTAGTTCTGCTTGTCCCAGAGTCTGGTTCTGTTCATTCACCCTCCCATCCCAACACCGTTGATTTCCCCTCTCTTCTCACTGACCTTCAGTATCTTCCCCACCCAGTCATGTTTCACTCTTTACAAAGGAAGATATGAATGGAAAGGGGGAGGCCTTAGGAAACTCATTTCTTTGGAGCCCAGAACAACCCCCACCTCATCTGCCCTGTTCAGCATTGAGTTTCAAGTTCCTTGTGCCCCAGCCAAGCGGAAAACAAAGAGCTCCCCTGTTTCCCGCACTCAGTGAGTGAAAGGAGCACCCACTTATTTGAGACTGATGCCATCTAGTGGTGCTAGGAAATCCTGCGTTTTCAACGGGGATTTTTATGGACTCATGAATTATAATAATTCAATAACAATAATAATAATTTGTTGAGTCCTTCCTGTATGCTACCGGTGTGCTAAGTGCCTGACAAATATTTTTATTTTATCTTCAGGGTAATTCTATGTGGCAGGTATTACTACCCCCAATTCTAGGAATAAGAGAATGGAGGTTTAGAAACGTACTGCCTTCCTGGGCCACAGAGCTAGGAAGAGGTGGACTCTGCCAACTTTACAACAAATCTCCTGAAGAGCATTGCTTCTACTTCTATACTTCCTATATCCACTTACCCTCCCACTATTCTTTTTGTTTTTTTTGATACAATGTATTTGAGTAGGTAATTTGTTAATGTGGTTTATAATTCAAAAGGCACAAAAGGTACCCAGAGGAAAGCCTCACTCCCATACTTCCTCACAGTTTGCCAATACCTCTGACAGGCTGTCCATGCTTGGAGCTTTATGTTTATGTTACCAAGAAATTTAATGTATACTTATGCATATATGTGTATGTATTCTTGCTTCCAATTTTCACAAATAACAACTCCCTAAATTCCTTGTTCTGAATTTTACTTTTTAAACATACAGGGTGGGGAAAAAAAAATAGATTTACAGTTGTGAGTACACAAAACACAGAGTTTATTCTTGTATTACTATTTATTAATTATTGTACTATTTTATATATGAACAACTGTAAACCTACTTTTGCCCCACCATGAATATGGCCTTTTTATAGAAGTACCACCTTTCATTTTGCCTTTCTCCTCATATTGATGGTAGTTACGCTATTGAAAGTCTTTCACTCTTATAAACAATGTCTTGCATGGACACTGTAATATACATATGCAACAAATTCACTAGGATAAAATCCTGAAGGGGGAGATGCTGAGTCCAGGCGTATTTATTAATATTGAGAGATATTGTAAAATTGCCTTTAAAACGATTGTCTTACAGTTCCATCAGTTTTCCTGTTTCCCCATATTCTCACCAACACCAAGTTTTGTTAAATTTTTAGATTTTGTCAGTCTTATGGATAAAAAGTGGTATCATATTGTAGCTGTCATTTGTTTTTCTTTTATTACCACTTAAGTAAGAACTCAGAAAGAAAAGTTGGCCATTACCAAAGCAGTAGAGGATTAAGTGGAAGCTACACTGCCACTCTCCCAGGACCAAACTGGAATTACAACTAAAGTATAGAAAAACCATCCTGAACAATCAACTGAAGACTAGCTGGAGAGCACCCTCATAACCAAGGACCTGAAGTGGAGACCACATAGAGGCTGTAGGAAGTGAAGAGGTGTGAGAGGGCTGGCGGGGCTCCCACAGGCAGCAGCTGGAAATCTGGAGGGAGATCTCAGCTGTTGGGGGGGGGGTTCTCATGGAAAACTCTGGTGTCTAAATCCCAACCTGGGTTTCTCAGCTCAAAGCACCAAAACTGAGAAAGGTGTCCACATTTTCTGGCTATGAAAAGCAGCGGGGTTTCTGTCTGCTACAGAGAGATGACCGGAAATTCAGGGACCCTCTTCAAGGGTCAATGCACAAAGTTTTGTGTGCAGCCACTCACCTTGGGCTCCAGCCAAGGGAGGCCAGAGTGGACTAGACCTGTGTGAGGAAAATCCAAGGATGCAGGCTCCGGAGATAGAGCTCAGAGGGTAGCTATCTGGATTCCTGTGCTGAGTCATTCCCCCATACTGCAGAGGACATCTTTCTCAGGGAGACCTTTACCATCCAGGAAGCTATTGCCAGGGGAGAAAGCGATTGCCTCACCCTGTTGGAAAACCTCTTACCCCGTCCTGTGGAGTTTAGGCCTTGCTGTGGTCTACAACTTGAAGTTCATTAACAGACAGAATAACAATCAGCCTCTGGTGCTTCCAGTCTTTGTCTGGTCTGCTTCTGAACTCAGGGCTTGGAAAAGCAGAACTTGGCTCACATCTTGGTCCTTCCTAAGTGCACCTAACCCCAGCAGAGGGAGCCACAAGCTTTGGTTTGCTGAAAGCTTCAAACAGGATACTCAAGGCCAGTCACAAACAGCGTCTGACACTGGCCTATGTCAGAGACTTCCCAAAAGACTAGGAGGAGTCCTAGCAGATCTACCCAATACATGGAAACAAGCCCAAACAGGCAACCAAAATGGGGAGACAAAAAAACAAGCCCCAAATGAAAGAACAAGAGAATTCTCCAGAAGAAGAGCTAAATGAAATGGAGATAAACAATCTATCAGATATGGAGTTCAGAATACTGATCATAAGATTGCTCAACAGCATGAAAAAAGAAATGGAAACCATGAAGGAAACTAAGAATGACATAGTAGAAATAAAAAATACATTGGAAGGAATAAACAGCAGATTAGGAGAAGCTTGTCTGGTTGCATTTATATTTAAAATTGCAGTCCAGCCCTTGCTAGGTGGCTCAGTTGTTTGGAGGGTCGTCCTGTACACTGAAAGGTTGTGAGTTTGATTCCTGGTTGGGGTGCTTACAGGAAGCAACAGACCTCTCTCTCTCTCTCTGTTTCCCTCTCTCTCTCTCCTCCCTCTCTCTCTCTCTCCTCCCTCTATCTCTCTCTTCCTCCCTCCTTTCCTTTATAATATCAATGAGCATGCTCTTGGGTGAAGATTATATCTATCTATCTATCTATCTATCTATCTATCTATCTATATATATAGTCTAAGACCCAGGGAAATTATAGAGACAAAGATGATCACTGCATGGTGATAAGAAGTCATCAGAACATGATATTAAAATAACCAGTCTGGAACTAACAACAAAGTCACTAAATATGTAAGAAAATATAGACAGAATTATAAGAAGAAATTTACAAAAAAAAAAATACATTTCTCAATAATTATAGATGAATTGGAAATATGAGTAAGCTTTCTGATGGCCTTGTCTGTAATACCTGGGAGTCAAAAGCTATTCTTTAAAATTGATAAATCAAGTAGTTGCATTAGAACGTGTTTAGGAGTATGAAAGTAAACATAAATAAAATGGAAGAGGAGAGGATATAAGTTAATTTTATGATGTTCATAGAAAACTAATAAGAAACTACTCCCTAAAAAGAAGAAACTGATTCTATTATATAAAAATAAAATTATCATGACAATCCCAAAAGATACACCTTCCTAAATATCTAAAAAGCTTCAGTTTATAAAAACACAAATAAGGCACAGTGAAAGATTTTAAAAACAAAATACTCATGTACAAAGCATATTCAACAGAAAATAAACAATCTCTAATTTATACAACCAGTTTGTTATATAATCATTGTAAATGGGCTTACTTCATCTATAAAATAAAATTTTTTTTAGATTAGATTAAAAGAAAAACTCTGCTGTTTGCAATATACAAAAGACACACCTAAAATAAAGTGACCCAGGAAGGTT